TTTACGTAGAACTTTATTTCTAAAGAAAACAGCAAATGTACAAGGAAACAAAAAGAAAATGAAACATGAACAGATAATTAATCATAAATCAAGCCGAAATACAAATATTTTTGTACAAAATATCAAACTATCCTTTAAAATCTCGTCAAATCAAATTTGACCTAGACTAACGCAAAAGTTGAAAATATACATGTGTTTGCACAAAATTATTAGAAACTCCCATTTAGTTACAAAAATATTTTCCAGGTTGTCACATCCCATGGCTCAACATGTAGCGTATTTCAAACATTTGCAATTGTTGCCCATAAATGCAAGACAATCATACATACATAGATCTGCATGTCGTAAAAAGATGCACTTTGTAAATTTTTTAGACAAACTATGCTAGATCTTGTATTACTTTCATCCTTGAAAATAGTTGCATACAATATTCTTGTTTGTTTGTGCAAGATATATAATTGACAAGTAAATTTCAAAAGTTGTATTGACTTATATCTGTAAGATGGCTAGAATTTTGCTAAACTCTGCATATCAATGCCAGAATGGTGGTATTTACGACAACTATAGCCAAATCGATTCTGCGTCAACTTGCGAATTTCTGCCATTTCGTAATGTACATGCTGTTCCATGCAAGAATATAGCTTTTTTCTTGGGCATTTATATATTTATTTCTCATTAGAATATAATCGCGCGCTTTTATTCATAGTATATTAGCTCAAAACTCTGGTTATAGTTATTAGTTTTCATGTTCACACACACGTAGTAGCTCTCAGATGATCATTATATCCTTCAGTTTTAATTGCACTTCTAATGGAAGTAAATGATAGAAAGATAAAGAAGTTCATCTTATAAAGCAAAGTGTGTATGTTCGAATCTTATTTCTGAAAAAAAAAAACTTTTGCATGCTTATGTGCGTTTACAATATGTGCTTCGTTTTTTTGGCCTTTCTAAAATTTTCTTGTATGTACATGCATAGGCTCTCTACAAAGCATTCATACATCCTTGATTGTAAATAGCAACAATAGTAAATATGTAGATATGCAATATTTTATGCATGTAAACGCGAATATAGTCTGTGACGCATTCTCACACTTGCCATACCATAAAGATTCAGTCATGCACACGTATTATATAAGTTTTCATGTTTGATTAGGCGCTGATTATTTCTTCTGAAGCATTATAATTTTACATTTTAAATTATGCACACGAGAACATTACATTGGTTTCTTAGATTGATATACAAGGACATAGACTAGGATCATCAAACCTAACTAGTGTTAGAAAGGTCGATTATTTGATTGTCACATTTTTGTTTTATTATTATAGAAATATTCGAGTTAATGTACTTCAACTAGTGCTAACGATTGGATCAGTTCAAAAGCTTTTTGAACGGCATCAAAATCTTCATCAGTGTTTATTATGCTTTTCTTACATATCATGTATTTAATCAAAAAATACTTCATATTTTTAGTTTACATGGATCTTGATAACTTCTTTGCTTTGTAGAAAAAGTATATCTTGTAGCTATATAATTATTATCGTAATACTACTCGAAGAAAAAATGTGTATTAGAAAGTCATCTATCTAATTATTTCATGCAGCTGAACTAAATGAAAGTTGATCTGTTTGACCGATTAATACATATAATCTTCAAATTCTATGTCAAATGTTAACGATCAGCTACAATTTTCGTATTCATACAGGGACTATAACAGTAATAATTTCATAATAGGCATTTGAATTTCAATAAATGTTTCAAATATTTCATTATTTATTCGTTTGAAAAATCTTAGTTGAACAATCTAAAATCATGAGAAATGTTCTATAATGAATACGAATAGAAAAGTACATGAAAAACTACTAGTGATTAAAGTATTGAGTTCTTTTGGATGAAATGATATTTTTATTACTTGCTCGATTAAGATCATACCTAAATACACATTCCTCGACACTCGAAAAAAAAAAGATATGATAACAAGTGCGAAAGGAAAGAATGTTTTTTCTTTCTACGAGATATTAAAAGATAATCATATGACTCTCATACATTAGTTAAACGTATTACTGTCAATATTGGCATTTTCCTGATTTTGACATTTGTTAGATTCTGCAGATTAGTCGCAATACTTTTTTACTTTAATGAAATTATGACAGTGATTTGAGTGATACGTTTTCTGCACTCAAGTCTATAGGGTTCGCGATGACTCGTAAAGAAAAAACTTCTTGCCTCACTATTTTTATCAGATCAGATAAATTTGTTTTTCAGATTTAGATTATTTATCCGATTGGTACATAAGTTCTACACGTTTCTTTTGTGTTCTATCTTTTTTGCGAAGTATTATTGCGTCATCCGTCATTAAACTTGAATATTTTGATTGACTTTTATTTTGTTAAATATTGATGTAAAAGATTCGTAATCAAGTAAATATTCATTTTTATTAGTGTAGACTTTAGTGTTTTCACCATGATCGTTTATAAGAAAATAAAATAATACATCAATAAAGAGTAAAATAAAATCAAACTATATCTGCTGTACTAAACCAAATAGAATATACGGTTTGGTTTTTTTCTAGCTATTTATTGTACCAAAACAAAAAACAACATAATTATATTAATGGAAAACTATTCAGATTGAAATTCTCTATTTTCGTTAACTTAAGAAGAGTTTATATTGTTTCAGCAAGTGCTTGCTTCACTGTTGTCAATATCCATGTATATAATGTTAAAATAAAAAATAGTATTCACAATATCCTGATATAAATGAAGATTAAAAAAAAAGAAAAATATTTAAAAATAATCCAATCAATGATCAGCTATCGTCCTATTCTGAACCTACACAACAGAAGATCAAAATTGTAATTAAATATTTTAGTGTTTCTTAATAAATTATTTCATATATCAAATCATTCAAAACTCGGCTGGTTGATTTAATTCAACAAGACAAATCTAAGAATATTTTTTCGATTGGGTGGCAAGATAGTTTGAAATAGTTTTGTTCACACTGAGTTCAACACGAAAAAAATATATCACATTGTATATCTCTAGTAGTAGAACTTAATAATTAGTTTAACTTTTTATGTTTATTATAGAAGGTAAGTTCTTTGTTAATTATAAAAACGATGTGGCACTGTCTTTGAATTGCTGTTTTTTTTTAAAAATAATATTACTCTTATCAATTGACTCAATATTAGAAATAATAATCATGACATTGTACTGTATCTATGCATCTTGAAGTATTTTTTTCAAATAACAGCTCTAATCTTTCCCTCACATATGACATATTTCGATCAATGAACCATTTTTAGATTTGTCATAGTTATCATTGATTAACTAGGAGATGCCAAAACTTTTTGACCATCTTTTAGAAACACATAAGAAAGTTAAATTAGTTTTAAAGTTTCTATTTAGTATAGATAAGTTATTTCTGTCTTTGAATCGACCAATCAAATTAGCATGTGATAGATTCATGAATTAAAAATCTTCTCAAACTTTTGCTGTTCACTTTTTTGATTAACGAAAATAACTTTTATTGAACACAAGCATGATTTTCGGGATCAACACACAAAAAGATATTGAAAACTCTATCTTTCATTAGAAAAAAGCTTCCAGTCAATTCTTATCCGTAGTAAGATACAGTCTAAAATTTTACGAAAAAAGAGTTGAGAAGGAATAGAGGGAAAATTGTAACTGAATATAGTTTGCGATGACATGTAGAGTTTCCAATGTATTTATGCATGCTAATTCTGAAAACCATGCTTATTTCTAACAAAAATTAATTTTTCATAATTAAAATCGAGAAATATTCCCCGTTTTTTGAAATTTTGCTTAGAAGTGATCCTATTCTAAAAATAATGATATTTTTTACTAACACTGGAAAGTCCTAAGTTTGGGTTAGACGTTTTCATGTTATAACATCATCCACGATAGAAAATTTTGTGAATTCTTGATCATCATATATAGACCTTCTCTATTCCATTGATGATAAAAACTTAACTTCTAATATTAAATCATAGTGAAATTATAAATTGAATAATGTTTCTGGTATACTAAGAAAATAAGTGTGCAATTGAGTACTTTAATCATAGACGGTACTCTTGCATAGACTAACTGTTCAAAATAATCCTGTTTTTGTTTTCTAGAAAATCTTCAATAAAGATTTTGTCATTATTTATGCATTCTATAGATGAGATATAAGTCATAATGAAATATAGGGATCAATATTCGTTGAAAGTGATTCTTTTCCTAAGACTAAAAATATCCAATTTCTACTATAGTGATCTTATATTCTCTAGATAATCCTTACAACAACAAAAAAAATAGTTAAAAGAAAAAAGAAAGTTAATGAAGAGGGGAGTATAAGTGATACTTGTTTTATGATGAACAAAATTGTATTATTTTTACTAACATCCAAATACAGTGTCTTATGTAGCGTGGCTGCGATATCCCTTCGAGAATTGAATTTTCTTTTTTGTAAGTTTGTAATTATTATATCACGTAAGGTGTGTCTATGCACAGGTCTAGAGATTGAGACATATTAACTAATATAAGATAGAATCTGGTGGAGTTCTTTTTTTTAAGAATAATATCATTACACTTTTATTAGATGAAAACTAAATGTTAATATTGATTGAGAATGTCTACATACATTAGTCACATCTCCTTTTCTCTTTCATGCACTTCGCATACACTCTCACAGATATTTGATAAGCATATCAATATGTCTTTCTAACTATAAAAAACAATTTCAGACTGCATTTATTGTTCTGCTTTTCTCAGTATTCTATACTTAGACATCTTCACTATTTTTCATCTATACAAGACAGTATTATTAAATACTTGACCCTTCGGAAGAAATATTCTTGAAAATGACATTATCTATATTAATGATAGGCATTTTTCTAATAAATCATTTTCAACGAAAAAAAAAAAAATTGCATTTATTTTTAAAGACAAAAACAAACAATATATATTACATATTTTACTGACATACAATATAAATAAATTTATTTTTTAATTTTATAATAAACAACATAATTAAAAGAATGTTTACAAAAAATTATTTTATTTATTTGCCTACGAAAATTTGGTGTTGATATATAATATATATAAAAACTCGATACTGGATTTGTATAATATAATATATGTGATATAACATGATAAAGAAAAAAATAAGATGATTTTAAAAAATCATTTTCAATAAATATACCATTTAAACATTGTTCAATACAATATGGAATTGATGAAAGTATTATAGCAATAGATATTAATAAAAGCATACGAGATAATTGTTTATCTATACTTATCTTTCCATGATGATGATGATGATGATGATGATGAGTCTTTATTTTTTTTAATTGTTTAAATGTTAATAATCCAAATATAGAAAGAAAACTAATTGGAATTATTCCATGAAGAAATATTTGAATTGTATATAAATAATAATATAAATATATTCTTGAAAAAATTATACAATGACCAATATTTGATACATCATAAAATATAACTATTGAAATATTATGAAATCCTATTAAAAAAATAATAAATAATATAATTAATATTGTTCGATGTCGTCGTGTACTTAATTCTCTAAAACGAACTTTTCTTGATGATAATAAATATCGATCAAATGTTGCCATACAAATACATGTTAATGATATTAAATCAAATGTATGCATAAGATAATATCGTAATTTACATAAAATAAATAAATTTGTTCTGGTTACTTGATATTCATAACCATCAAATAGAATACGTGTTAAAAGTGGATAAATAATAACAATCAAATTTGCTATTGATGATGCAAGTAAATACAATGAACTATTATTTGTTCGAACAATTTTACAACTTCTATATGATTTTTTTGGTAAACGAGACCATATAGAAAATACACAAATATTTAATATATTTCCAATTGTACCAAATATATACATCATAATACCAACATATATAGTGAATTGATGTGAAATTTCATCTATTTGATTCATATCTAATTATAGATATGATTTATTATGTATTTTTTAATATAAAACAAAAAAAAAAAAAACCATACAAAACATTTTCATTATTAATATCGTATTGTCATCTAATGAAGAGAAAAATGTTTTTTTTTTTTCGTCAATAAATTCTTTTGGGAATAAAATTTTACCGAATGATGTTGACAATAATGATGTGAGTCAAGAAAGAAATCAGTATTTTTCATATAATGATAGACTTACTAGTTTTTTTTCTTCTTCATATATTATTCAAGTGTGTCGTCGAAAACTTATATTGCTTATGTTCTTCTCTCGAGCTAACTTTTCTTAAATAAAAGAATAAATAACAAGAAAGTCGTAAACGGTCATAATATTCTACTGAACAAAAAAAAAAATCTTCCTAAATTAATTTACACATGACAAAATTATCAATAGTTAAGTATTTGGAGTGATTATCATGGGTGAATCTGTCTTGTTTTTCTCTAGTAGACTTTTACGATTGATCTCATTCTATAGAACTAGTTGATAAGAAACAATCTTCGATGTATTTTCTTAACCTTATCCGAACATGAATTAACATTTTCATGAAAGAATACGAATAGGAATGCTGATTACAGTGAAGATAGTATTTTATCTACCTGATAAATAATTACTTTCGTTTGTAAAAATTCTTTTTAAATATTCGATTTTCTCGGTGAACAATTAATGTCAGATCCTTATTTTTTTTATGCAAAAATTTCTAAAAATGAAAAATCATAGTGCAGCTCCTTTTACTAGATGATTAATTTTCTTAGAATTGCACTAAAGAACTACTACCGGTAACATATAATGAGTCTATATAGTTTACAGGCATACAGAAATAGAAATTATTGACGGTATTATCTTTTTATATAAATGAGATGATTATATTCTTTTTTTTTTTTTCTGAGATTGAACTTTAACAAAATGTTTCAAAGACATTTTGTTGTATTTTTCAAGCTTTTTTAGTAAATGCTAAACAAAATGATTCTAATTATATTCGTGATTGATATTGAATTTCATGATTTATGTAACGAAAGATCATGTTTAATCAGTAAACATTATTTGACCTTATATTTAAGATAAAAACAAGCTTTGAGAAAACTCAGAAAATAATAAAAGATTTATAACCACAATTCATTGATAAATACTTATCAATGTTTTACTAAAAGTCTCTTCCGAAAGAATCTATGACTATTGTTTTCGAATAGATGCTCCTGGGATAGTTTATTGACAATAGAAATCTGTTAGAACTCTAAATAATCGACGATCGATTAGAAACATATTGACATTAGTTATAGATATCATTTTCATCCTTACATTTTTCTTCGCTGTTATTTTCGTCGTTAGCTCTATCTATATGATGAGAAAATCGGTCTGGATCACAACATCCGTCTTACCCTTTTCAAGAAAATAATTTTCGAACAAATCTAAATAAAATATTTGAGTATAATTAGAGATTTGATAATTATTGAAACGATTTCAACGTTTCAAATAGACTTGACGGTAGCATTGTTCGTATAGTAATAATAGTCGATTGGATTTATCTATAAGTCAATACTCTTGATTTTGATATTTTTGAAGAGATCATAGTTGTAGATTTGCCTTGATCTCATAAGTTTTAATCATAATTAAGGATTCGTATCATCTGATATTTGACGATTAAAAATATTTTCTCATCAGTTTGTGGCATCTTTTATCAGCATATTTTACAATTTTATCATCAAGAACAAGCTAAATTGAAGTTGGTATTATTAAAACAAAGAAACTATTCCTTTCTCTAATATATCTGAAATAGATAAGTAAAAAAGTATTTTATTCTTAGAATTGAACGAAATACATAAATTAATACAGAATCAGAACGGTTTACTTTCACTATAGTATTATAAATCATATAGAAATATGCATAGAAAATAAATTGTAAAGAATAATATAAGATGTGTAATCTGATCAATAAAAAATCTAAGTATTTTAGTATTTATATAGATTATTTCTATTTTAATCTGTTTATGGTATATATTAAGTTTCACGAGCCCTGACACAGTATCATTTTTTTAATGCTTCAATTCATCTAGTATCATCAACAAGATCCGACTAGGCTAAGCAACATCTAAGCTTCGGAGCTGTTGACTCAATTACTTAGAAATTTTTAAAAAGAATAATCCATTTTAGTAAAATGAATGTCAATCATTGGCACACTCTACTGTTATTTTTCGAGTTGATCGATGAGTCGATTGAACATTCTATAATTTATTTCTAAAAACAATAAATTCTATTGTATTGTTAGTTACTGGTAGACTTTCGTTTTACTTGTAAATTCTAACTTTAGCCATGTATGTCATTGTTGCGACGGTACGGAGCTGAAACTTTAAGAGCAATATTTGTATTAAAATTTAGTTTTCAAGATTTTAAATACACTTTCTAAAACTAATACGACAGTACCCAATGACCTAAAGATTTCTGTTTAAACCACTATCATATACATATGAGAGTATAACTCGAAAATGATATCGTGATAGATATTAGAAAAGTATGCTTGAAAGCTAATCAATGTTAAACTTATGATAGATATCGAAATAGTTTCTGTTTTTAACAATCGTCTTTCTATTACAAATAAGAATTTGTTTTTTTCTGCATTAAATCATTTCGCTACACAGTATCATATTTATTAAAGACATGAAAATATTTAAAATATTTTGACTTACTTACTTGATCTTGTTTGAATTTAGTCATAAGAGATAATTTTTAGTTGCCTGTGATTCTTTTTTTTTTTTTTTTGAAATATATTTATAGCTCGAATAATATACTGAATTGTTATATTACATGAACGACCTTGATACTCTTAACAACTTTGCAAGTTTTTTCTTTTAATCAGATTATATGCTTCAGAAAGGTAAAATTATCGTTTTTCTTTTAGAAATGATTATGTTTTCTATATCAAAAAAAAAAGTAATAATAATTTTATCGAAGAAGAATGCTCAAGTCAAGATTCATTGTAATCTTAGGAAGTCTTATTTTTGAAACATGACATATTAATAGATATTTAATAATAATCAAAAAAATGTACTTTACTATCATAAAAAAAACATCCCATATTCTTTAATCCATCAGATGTAGAATATAATAAAGTAAGATTTATGCCTATTAGTATTTTATGAATCTTTTAATAATGTTAAAGATAGATTAGATTTTTCTTAAGACATAATTAATTGAAAAAATTTTTATTCTGTAAAATTGATTTCTATAAAGAAGAAATAAAAACAATTAAGACGAGTTTAATGATATATTTGAAATTTATATTTTAAAAAATTTAATCTTCTCATTTAATTCTTCGAATTAATTTTAGTTATTTCTATTGGACAAAGAAAAAATTCTTTTGATATATTTCATTGCTTTATACTTTAGAAGAAAAAAAAAAGATCTTGTTTCACTCTCAGTTAGATTAGAAATTTTCTTCTCTTAAAAGCAAGTAACTCAGTCACGTTTTTCTTTATATAATGACATCGAACAATAAAGAGCAGAGGTACAGTAATGCTATTTATTCAATTTAATCTATTGTACAAACAAATATAAAATAGAGACCAAAAAAAAAGACTTTTTTTTTTTAAATCAAAAATATTTTAATTAGTTAATAAACTAGAAAATTGTTCGTTGTATTTTACATAAAAATTAGTAGAACAAGAGAAACATCCTATTATTTTCCGGACTGATACTTTTTTCTTTTTTTCCTATCCTACTTATATCTCATGTAATCCGTATTTTTCCTGTTCTCGACTATCTCAAAAGTAATAATGTCTATTTTTTGTTAAATTACATACATATTCTCAATAGCATTTTATAATTTTATTTGATATATGAAAGATGCTTAATTCTATTGTTATTCATTACATATTACCAATATTATTTATATAGAAAAAGTTGATACTATTAAAAATTAGTTAATATGTATCAACAACTTCGAATTATAGAATAGAAATTTTTTTAAACTTTAAAGATTCTATTAAATAGAAAGCTTTGAAATAAACCAAAAGTCTATTTATTATTAATGAAAGAGGTAGTCTAGCATAAAGTCATGAAATTAGTAACCAAACAAGAATAAATTATTTTTTTTTTCTTATTCATTCTTTCATATTTTTTTCTTTTGGATAATGAAATAAAGTCATTATCATTAAATAATTATTTTTGTTAACTATTCGATCAAAGTTTTTAATTGTGATTCTATCATTTTTTTTTCCTCATTTCTATTCTTTCTTTGTGTCATTACCATCATTTTTCTTTCACTCTTCATTCTTTATCACGCATGTGAAAATTCTGTTTCCGTCATAGTTGTTGTCAAACAAAAGACATCATAGATTTAAACATGTAACTGTTGTTGATGAACGGTGAACAAGAGCAATCATAGGAATATAAATATATACGTATTTACTTATTTACCCGAAATTATTCGTTGATTAACGTGTGTGTGTGTATGACATCTAACATATTTAGATTAGAAGGCAATAAGTAAATCAAGTGAACATATGATATTAACTTTTGTTTTAGTAAAAAAAAAGAAAGAAACATTAATACGTATGTATGTGTGTTGATGACATAGTGACCAAAGACAAAGTTGAATATGATAGGATATAAACATAAAACGAAAGATAGATCACAGTTGTGTGATTGATTAGATGTTTTATCTATATTTAGACGAGAATAGTTCAGTGAATGCGTGCAGATAATTTCCGCTTATATAAATGCGATGTGCCATTGGCAATTTTTTTTTTTTCTTATATTCTTTTTTTTTCTCGTAGTTTTTATTGATAAATTACAGTCCATCAATCGATAACATAGCAATTCATATACATATTTATGACATAAATCGATGTTTTTATTTTCGTTGTTTTCTTTTTTTTAACACGAATATCGATTTTTATAGAAGTAGAAGATTCTTCAAATAAAAAAAGAAAAAAGATTAAATGAGTTTCTTTCTTTATGATTAGTAATAAAAATAT